GTGTATGTTGGGTGTGACTAGAATAATAAATGTATCCAAATTGCAGTTAAGCCAGGTATGAGGGTATGAACGAAGTGAAGTGCATATATTTATATATATATAGCAGTTTATTTTACTTATGATTACATGCCTGTATGAAAATGAACTTGTTGGTGTTTGTGTTTGTTTGTAGCTTAAACCACATTTTGTTTTGTTTTTGTCTTTGTTTTTCTTTCAGAATAAGATGATGATAATTTGTTGTTACTATATGCACGTATACAACTGCACTTAAATAACTTATTTTTGGGGAGGTATCTTTAAAATGAGAAATTATCACTGATCATCTATGTATGTATCTATATTTTTCACTTTCTCATACCGGGAATAAGTTTGTCGCAGTTTTTCATAGATTCATTATTGATTATAATCTTACAACATTAAATTTAAAATCAAATACGTAATGCATATTTTGGTTTGACTTTTATTGTATTTGTAGATAAAATAATAATATTTTTGTAATCTCCGTACAATCGCAGAAGGATGAAAATTTTGTTTTCTTCCTTCAAACAACAAATAGTATTAGATTTACATTTTGATGAATGTTCTGCATTTAATCTGGGAAGAAACTTTTAGTGACGTTTTCGTATCCCTTGGCATTTATCTATGTAGCTCAGCGGTGCTGATGCTGCCTCACATTCAATGTCGAAAATAAATGATGGTAATGAGATCTGAAAGTGTTCGATATTCTTTTGAGCAACTCTTCATTCAACTCTTCCGTTTTTCGTTTTTATTAGATTCTATATACTATATACGCTATAGTGCTGCTATTTCATCAACTTTTTTTAGGTGAGGGGGAAAGAACTTTTTCAAAATCTATGGGTCTTTAACTTGATGATAAGTTGTCTAGCAGTGACGGGTGTTTCTGATAAGAACTATATTTCGATCAATCTGCTTCGACTAATTTTAAATAAGAATGACATTCCATAAGAGAAAAGAAAACCCGACTTATCGATTAAAGTTGTATTGTAAGAGACGTTCTTATTCCGTTCGCTCCTTATTCGCAATCAAGAACAATTTTGTGTCTCTTCGCTATCACAACGAAAAAAAAATTCCCATATTTTGTCTCGCTGGGGATTCACTGCATACACGATTATTGTCAACCAAATAGAAAAAGTCTCAACCATTAGTTGATAAGATAAATATATCTATTAAATATTGAACAATAATAACCTTATTTCCTTAATTAGTTCCATCTTTTAACTAACATAACCACATGAGCTTCTGTAATTACTTTCGAATATTTCTATATTCTAGTCAGAGAATCAAGTATTGAACAGATTTTGGTTTTGGTCTTGTTTCCATCTACAGAAAGAGTGAAGTTCATCTATATTTATTCATGTTTAGCTCCACGGTTTGGTGCCTTTGTTTTCGGATTTGGATTTTGGATTGCAATTTTTTTTTGCCAAATTTCAAAATTATATTTCAGAAACCCGAGTTATACCTACTCTTTACTCTTTACTATGAATAAGTAAGTATTTTGTAAAATTTCTTATTTGAAAATCTAATGTAGACAAGCATTGTTTAAATTTCTTTTTATATTTAGTATATTATTTAAAAAAATGTTTTTTTTTGTTTTTCGTCTTTTTGTGATTATATTAGCTGTTGCTGCTGTTTTTTTTTATAACATAGAATATTTAAGAATGGATAAAATGCAGCTATGCTGGAAGTACTAGTAAAATTTAGTATCACAGTATTTTATATAAGATCAACTTTTGTTTTATAAGGTTTATGTATTTTATGCAAATATTACTTATTTAATATATATGTATGTATGTCGCCGCGTAGGTATATGTATATACTATATTTTTGTATATATAAATACATAAACAAGTAATGCAGAAAATTGAACGGAGCGTTTTGCTTTCGCGGTTACCAAAAAGCTACAAAACAAACTATGTAAATCTATCGGAAAATAATCCCAGATTATACATAAATCGAATCACTTTCACGTAAAGTGAAGCACAAACAAAAACGTATATATTGGTGTATCTTTGTATTTTGGTAACATGGAAATACTCACATAATATAAGGCAAGTCAATAAAAAACGAAATTATGTATCAAAATATTCGCATATAAACATTTTCTTTAATTACTCATTACTCATACTAATTCATACTATTCATACATGCAAGAGAGGTGTTTCAAAATTGGTTTGTGGAGAAAAAATCGAAGAGGAAAGCCGACTAGGGGCCTTACTGTGTTACTGTTACTGTATTAAGTGTGTTTTGCCCTGCTCTAATCATCATGTGATACTCTTCACTTCTGTGTATTGTGTAGCAGTACATTTTTGTATTTGTTAAGCAATAATATTTTGTTGTCAAGCCTCCTACTGGAGGATATCTGTGTATTTGGGCACGGCCATTTACCATTTAAGATTATTTCAAGCAAGTTGTAGTTTAAAAATACGTGTTAATTACGTTATTGAATGTCAATTGCGCCTATTGAAATTCCTGAAGTACATTTTCACAATGTACTCTCATACTCTATGTATTTCTATATACGGTATGGCCTATATATGGTATGGTATGGTTATGCACATGCACATAGCAATGTCATCAGACTGCAAATTTTCAAACTGTGTGTTTTTACGAATTTGTTCAGCAATAAGTATCTCAGTAATATGTAGTTTCAGGGCCCATAAACAAAACCCCTGAGAAAATATCATCAGCAACTACTGATTGGAAGATTGAAGGTAGAAATATTTAGCTTACAAATTGTAATTATTGAATTACTAGAGACGCAGGAGTGTGAGTCTATACATATTGGAAGATTTTTCGGAAGCAGTGAGGCTAAAAAAAATCACAAGTTGTGGTAAGCATTTGCATTTCCACTCCTTAAATTGGATAAATAAATAGAGTGTTCCTATGGTTGCACATAAACAACGAGATTAGAAGCTTCATGCTTACAATACAATAATACAGAAAAACGTGTCTTTTAAATATGTATATGTATTTTGTAAAACTGTTAACCAATCTATTGATTACTATCTTAATTCATATTCATAAGATAAGTATTTCAAACTAACTTTTGTAACTATCAAACAAATCTACAGAAACTTTGGATAAACGGGGGGATTATTTGTTGGTTTGTCTATTTTGTAACCCAAATTGTAGATAGTAATTTTTCCATTTGCAAAAATTGGTGAAAGCTTAGTTTGTGAATGGTCGATCTGAAGTAAGATACGTGGAAATGATGCGTCTGTTTCTCCCTAAAGGCTACTGAAGGTTTTGTTATTAATTAATTAAATTTAATTTATTCGTTTATGTCGTTGTAACATTACTTTACAACATACATTACCCATTTATACTTAATCATAAACAGATTCATTTCTAGATCCATGTATAGATTATTGTTATTTTCGCGTTGTTTCTTTGTTTGTTTGTAACAATATGTTTTTCTCCATTCTTCAAAATATGGATACAAAAAAAAAAAAAAAATATCTAAGTATTTTAACAGTGTGTTTTTATTGTATAGCTGAGAGGCTTTTTCGCTCTATGTGAGTGAGGGTTACATAGAATGCAACAAGAGGGTTCAATTTTAAGTGAAAAATAATTTTGTGTGTGGGTGTGTTGGGGGAAGGGCGTTGTGTGTTGATTATAAAAGGAATTGATTTAAAAAAAACGCCATAATACTCCTTTACTCAGTTCCAGCATAAAGACTACATTCTATTCTATAAATATTCTAGAGCCGTAGTTATCGTCCTGTATCATATATCGAGCATTAGCATCCTCGTGCTTGCCTTTAATTATTTTGGGACACATTGTTGGCAGGTTCTCATTTTCATTTTCATTCTCATACTCATTCTCGTTAAGATGAAATTTGTTTCGCTGTTTTTGCACCAAACTCGCATCGTTATTACAATTTGTCTTTAAAGCTATTTGATCTAATTCTATTAATTGCTTGCCGTTGCTTTTGTCTTTTTTTAACAAATATAGTATCGCTGAATGCAGTCATTCGATAAGAACGAACTCATCTTGTTCTATTGGTTTCTTTAGCCAGCTGCCAAGATCCTCCCGCTTGAAGGCGCTAAACAATTCCAGTTTAGCCGTCTGCAAAGAAAAAAGTTCGTGGTTATATCTATTGAAAAAATGCATATCGGAATGCAATCGATGCATACCTGATAATCCTTGACGTTGGCTTTGGTCTGGCCGTAATCTGTGGTTACACTGCGGTTCAAAATACCTGGTAAGTTTTTCATTAAAAATCCATATTTATCAAAAAACGCTTGCTTGGTGATTCGCGATACTTGACCACCGATAGTTCGGCCAGTCAGCGAATTGACCACTTCCAATTCAACATCTCCGATGGTCCAATTAATGCCAAAATTTGGTGCCTTGGCCTGATTGCGCGGCTCAGCCGATGTGACCAATGCCAGTCGTGGCTTATTCAAATGGTATGGCGGCGGCAAGCCTTGGATAGACTTTTCTATTCGTCCACACACAGCACGATACATATGTTCAGGGTGCAGCAGACTCCCCAATACAATGGAATGCAGGTACACTGGCTCAATTATGGAAGACAATAAGGAACCTTGTATACCCACAATGTTCCAACGTGCAATTTTATCCGAGCAAGACATTGTAAGCAATCTTTGACCCTGTATATTATATGACAAAGCATTATGTTATTCCGTATACGAACATATCAATATAGATCATTTGGCTTACCTGTAGTACACCATCCCAGGTTTGTATGCCATCGCTACTCTTAACGGGTATTGTACCTTCGCCGGACTCGATTTTCGTACGCAATTGCCCACGAGCTTTTCTGTTTTTGGTTTAGGTTGATTTGGTTTTGTTTAGAGTCAAGGATGATATCAAGGACGTTACGTTGCAATGATTTAAGCCACAGAAACACAGATGAACAAATGGCAGCATAGTAAAATGTAAAAATTGACACGAAAAATATAAATAAAATACAATTTTTTTTAAGCGTATTTCAAAACGTGGCAACATTATACTGCGAACAAATAATGGTCTGAGGTTATCGAGTTATTTTGTTTAGGGTTTGTGTATCGTACAATGGCTTTTCCAAGATCTCCAAAAACAAAATAAACGAGAAGGGACGTGTGAAACGCTTCTTACGCGTCACAACTTTAATTCCCGGCACTCAGTACTACATCTGCACCTTAGCGGTGTTTTGTCAAATTTTAAATTTTTTCTTCATCTGTCATCTACATCTACAACACTTCTCACACCAACACGCTCCGTTAGCTCGCCGCCCTTCCCTAGACCCACACACTGCAGACTCGCGGCAGAGGCAGCGCCCGCACACAAAAAACGAGAAGGGACGTGTGAGACACTTCTTACGCGTCACAACTTTTATACCCGGCACTCAGTACTACATCTGCACCTTAGCGGTGTTTTGTCAAATTTCAAATTTTTTCTTCATCTGTCATCTACATCTACAACACTTTCCACACCAACAAGCTCCGTTAGCTCGCCGCCCTTCCCTAGACCCACACACTGCAGACTAGCGGCAGAGGCAGAGGCAGCGCCCGCACACAAAAAAACAAATAAAAGCTGCGGGACGGGGTGGGTTAAAGGTCGGAAGAGGCAGAGGCAGAGGGACGGCAGAGGCTGGGGCCGAGTGAAGCAGAAGCAGAGTGTGAATTAGAGAATGTGAAAAAACAACAAAAGCTGCGGGACAGGGTGGGTTTAACCACTGGAAATTAATTTCTTCATTTTGGCTATAATAATGATCCAATCGAATCCCAAATTGGTGATCTGATAGATATGGCCGTTCCCTTCGGAATCTTTTATCTTCAAAATTGTAGATTTGGGTGGTTTTCGCCCTTTTGCGGGGTCGGAAGGGGGCGTGGCTCATTTTTGAGCCACTTTATGGGGTCGGAAACGTTTCCTTTTGTGTGTTACATACATCCACTTTGTGCACAAATACAATATACCCTATTTACTCTATGAGTACCGGGTATAAAAAGGAAGGAAAAGGCTTAGTAAAGAATTCGCTGTCGCTAAAGTAATTAAGTTATATCTAACACTAAAATTACGACAATAAAAAAACTATAAACTAAAGTCTAAATACAAATGCCACCACAGACTGAACCGACAGTTACAAAAAGTATGTAGGGTTTTAATATGGCTCCGTTCCTTGGCTGATAAATGTTAAATCAATTAAATATTTTGCATTGATTAGGGATGATCTCGGACCAATATTTGTGCACTGTAGAATAGTACAAAGGAAAACCCTAAATAGTAATTACATATAATAAATTGGGTCTATACAATCATGCTTCTGTTCAGATTGGAAATATATTCCATACACATGAATTGCATATAGTAGTATAAATTTGTATAACTATATAGAGTCGAGCTTTTCTGAGCTTTTCTTTTGTTCAAACCAACAACAAAGATTCAACTTATAAAGACTCTAAGCTAAATATTTGTACACATATTTACTTAATATTTACTGCATTACTTTTACAGACTACACTGAGGCTGGAACTTTGATTTGGGTTTGTTTAGTTTTGGGTTGGATTTAACTTAGGAAAGCTCGACTTTATATATGCATACAAAAGAAAGAGCTATCGTTCCGTCTTAACTGTATATTTTTCAGTCAATTTTAGCCAACAAATAATTATTAAGTTATTTATAACATACATACATAACTTATTTTGGTTCTACTTTCTCTTTACAATTTGTTTTTAGTATACGTTTAACATGTCAATTTGTTGTTGTTTTTTTTTATTGATGCTATTATGCATTATTGTGGATAATACATAATGCATTAGATATGATAACAGTAGCAAGAGTATTTAGAAAGATCTTTTGTACCAACCTATTTGGATGTTTATCAACACCTGTGTCGTTTTCGTGAGGACTAAATATCCGTGCATCCCCACAAGGTGCTGTATTTATATACAAATGGAAATGTACCCCGGATTTTAGTTTATAAGGGTATTGCCCATCAGTATTCCTCACGAAAATCGACTGATATGCTGTGGCTAAAATTAAGAGAAAATTGAATAAGAGTTAAATAATTAAATACAAATAAAAGTAAAAACGATTTTAGATTTCTAAAAGTTCCTAAGGGAATTTCATCATTTACCCCATTTTCAACAAATACAAAAATGGAGATCATATTGTTCAGTATTTACTATTTTATAATATATATACACCAAAGTATCGGAAAAATCATGTTATTTTGAACCAATACACAAGTGTATATGTATGAAATTAAATTCTATATGGAAATCATGACAACAAATATTTTTGTTTGATACTTCTAAATTGGTAATAGAACCTCCTAAAGCTAATCAAAAAATATGTCATAAGACGATCCATGGAAAAATAGACGTATCTTAGCACCACATAAATTTATATATTCTTTAAATATATTTTCTATTATAAAATTCCCTAGGCGGGTAATGAACAGAAGGAGGCTGCTGCTGCGGTTTGTTTATCCGAATCACCAAAACGGGGGAGCATTGAAGCATAAAACAAAAAGTTATTGCATAAACTCAAGAGAATAACAAATCAGAAATGGATCGTTGTTTGATTTTTCAATTTGCGAAACAATTTGTATGCGAATGCGAATGCGAATAGAAATTGTTCAGTGCCAGCCATAAATATTTGAACATGGTTGAGGTGTAAACACATACATATATAAGTTATTCATGGGATAACTTAATCTATGTCAAGTCTAAGTATTTGTTTTATACAAATTGCATTCCTTTCTAAAACTTGTTAACTCGCAGAGCTGGTTAAGAGTCGTGAAGGGGCTACAGAATGTAGGACTCAGCAGCGCATCCGCTCTCTTATTCAAATCTCATCTGATGTGTATACAAGAAATGAGCCTGCAAACTTCATTGACGGGTTTGACTATACATTTTGAATGATTCATACGTAAACGTACTTATTTAACAAAAAAACATTTTCAAGCTTAAGTTATATTAATAGGTAGGTACTCATTAGAGTGAGCGAAATTCCCTGATACTAGTATATACAATTAAATAATTATACCCTGATTGCACTGAAGATCCAGCTGTGCGTACAAGAACTTTAGTAGACAACGCCTCGAAACAATTTCAGCATGAGAATCGTTTAGAACGGCACCATTGACGCTTATATGCTCGCCGCTGACACATTTCGTGCCAGTTGAAACGGATATAACCTATTTTGGAAAAGAATATACAAATTAATGTTCAATATGTTTGATCAGTTTATTAAATAACGTTGCTTTAAATTTCCATTCGACTTACTTTGGCCTCGAAAAAATTCATGTTCTCGGTCATAACAATGCCCGCCAATACCTTTCGCCGGGAGTATGCCTCCTGGCCCTTAATAACCTCCATAAACTTTTCCAATACCAGTCTTCCAATCGCATCTGCATGTATCTGCGGCAACTCCATGGACGAGGACTTGTCATCAATGGGGAGTGGCACATTTTTTTGTGGCACCACCATCGGACTGTAAGAGATGTTGCACAACGAGGCGAGCGCTGCCTTCGCGGCGGCATTCTTGGCCAACTTTTTCGATGGACCTACCAAAAATCAATGGACTAGGGAGTTTTTTAAAAGTTTTTTTAAATGTCATTTTCTACATACCGGTACCATCGAATTTCTTTTCGTTAATGGTTACAGTCATTTTGAAGCGACAGTTGTTCTGTGCACTGTCAATATTAATGCACTCAAAATTAACGTCATTGAACAGTTCATAGAGTAGCATGACGGGACCCTTGTCTGGCACCTTCTTTTGCCCATCGACGGTAATGGCGCTCTTACTGACATCTATGCAAAGGCAGGTGTGAAATGACAGTTAGTAGAAATATTTGTTTGTCCTCTCAGTATCAGTATAGAAAAAACCCTAACTTAGCCATCTATGCTTATTACACACGCGAATTCCCAGTGGTCGTCTCCAACCATCAAAAAAAAAAAACATATGCGGGGGAAAAAAATACAGATTAAATTGAAAACATAAATAATGAAAATAAATGCTCTCATCATCTCACAAATATGTAACAGAAGTGTTATTTTAATATACCGGTACTCAGGACGAGAACAGAGGCTAGAGCAAAAGAATTTTGTGTGCAGACTTTGTGGATAAACATTAAAAGTCATACAAAAAATTGCAGAAATAGATACGTTAAAATCGGATGCTTTTAAAACAATTGGAGAAAGCAATTTCTCCTTGCCGATTCAGAGTTTCAGTGGCGTCGCCTGGCGGAGTGAGGGCTACATCTATATATGTACATATGTACACATATCGGCCGAATACTGATTCGTTGGTTCGTACAGCAACAATGTGTTAATTAGGTAGAAAGAATAAATACGTACTAATGGTATATATATTTTCGTTCGATATATTTCTGCTGATTGAGTACCGGTTATTGTGGTGTCCCCGTTAGGATTTCTTTCATGTGTGCACACAAAGGTAAGTGTAAGCTTCGGTTCGCATATACTATGTACATATTTATTGTCTCAAAATCATAGATATTAACAAACATAAATGAATACAAGTGTAGATGTAAGGCACAGAAAACCAGGTACAGCAAGGATCTGTACATAAAGTATATTAAAGCGGACCAGTTTTTCATTTATTAATGTACTATATGTATGTGTGTATGTATGTATGTATAAGCCGCTTCGGTAACTGCTCTAATCTGTATTTTTTTAATGGATAACATACAAACAAGAAAACAATAGCAAATGTCAATTATCTGTGTATACATAAGTTGTATACATACTTTTGAATTTGTCTCGATCTGTGTGTGTACAGGTCCAACCAATAACAAAATAATAACAAACCAATATGAAATAAAGAAATAATTAAGAAAAAAATAAACGAAAAAGGTTACAAGAAGAACGGAAAAACAAACTGAATTTTACTAATACTTGCTCTGACTCATGCAAAACATTTGAAGAGGCAACTTGGATGTTTCAAGCGAGGTAAGGTTGGGTTTCTTTTCGGTCAACATCAATATCATCATCTGTATGTAATCGACCAATTTACCATTGGCAATATTTTCAATACCATTTTCAAGATGCTCATCGCTGGTAAAGTCCAAATTGCCGGATGGCTTCAATGGCGATAATACGGCACCGTCCTTAAACTGAATAAAGCTGCGAAGGGCTGTGGCTGCTGCTTCGATACGCGCCACTTTTTTACTGCGTCCCTGGCCCATATATTTTTGACCATCGACCTGTTAATATACACAAACAAAAATATAGACAGACATTTATTGGGTATAATAAATTAGTATCAAGTTTGATCTATTTTCTTTGTGATTCGCTCTAGTAAGAACAACACTATTTCACGTTTTCAGACCATAGGTTTACGACCATTACGACAAATGGCATTTGCATTTGCAAACTACCCAACCGTCTTAACGTTTATTTATCATGCACTTTTTTATGGAGCTCTGGCTGCGCCCGAGGAGTAAAACCTCCAATGTCTGTATAGATTTCTCATTGAACAATAAATCGCGTGAAATGACATACACAAAAAATATACCACACAACCCATCGTATGTGGAAGTCATGGGGATAATGTATGGTAAATTTTTTTGTTTTTTTTTTTTGTGTGGCATACTAATGTCATACTAATACTTGGCATGGCAATAAGTGGGCATGTCATTTGTTGTATTGGTCGAGTAAACAACAAGAAGAGACAGCAATCGATTATAAATTAGATCGTCTTCATTCCCTGACAATCGTCTACGACTTTCTAGGCACACGGAACACTATTATTAGTTTGACTGTTTCACATATCTATACACTTATATCTACATATGTATATCTAGATCTTACCTCGACGGATATCGTAAATAAGGGTGCGTGCACCGGACCAGTCTGTGACTCCAATTTGTAAATCAGTCCGTTTCTTAACTCATTTAGCATTGCCACCGTATTCTTCGGCTGTGGTATCCGCTCCTTGCATGTTTTCTTTTTTGGTGGTACTGAAGCATAAAAACACAGTGAAGCATAACCCTTATACATTGTCGATGTCTATATGTTGATAAATTCGCAGGGGACCTACCAGCATATTTTGGCATTTCATAACGACGTTTTTGCGGCGACTTTCGGTTATAGCCATTCATGGTGTTTTCGGAAGAGTTAGCCACCGGCTGTGGAGCAGTAAGTGAGTCAGACATCAGAATTAAAATACAAAATGATATTAAATGTGTTACAAGAAATTTGCATTTGTGTATTCCTTGCATTTGGTTAGAATTTAAGTACAACAATTAAACATTCAAGTATCCTTTAAAGGCAGACAAATCTTTTTGTACGTGTGCTTTAATTTTATTCCATAAATTTGTTAAAAGCCCATTTGTTAAAAGTATTCAAGTGAAAATTGCTCAACAAAATGCATGAGTTTTGTGGCAGCTTCCACTTGTACTGTTTAGAGCGAAACAAAACGCACACAAGGTTCTAAGTTGATTGGTTAGAGGATTAATGGAATGTAACAAACATACACACACACATTAACTTATGGTTTAGTCAAATTATTACACACAACAACATCAATATTAGTTATATATTTATTAAAGACAGTTAGAACAGAGTTAGGACAACATGTACATATAATTTATGTGTTATATGGGAGCGCAACAAAAATGTTTTCTTAATTTGTGGCTATAACTGAATCTGAACTCTTAAGAATAACCTCAAGTTATTTGTTCCTTTTTACGCTTCTGTCCCCCACACCCTTTTAACAATTGATTTTTGCACTTTGATAGTTGATGGATGGATAGATGGATGGGCATAACGACCCTATTAACCTTATTGATGGCATGTAACTGGCCATGCCAGTGGCCATGGTCCATCAAAAGGGTGACCCGACTCGACCCCTTTTAGGACTTCACGTTTCCTTGCCTTTCAATCACAATATATTTACTTACACCGTAGGGATAACGTGGTAGCATTATGCGTCGCTTAAAGAGTACACGCGAGTACCTTTTGCTTGCGAAACAGGACGATGCTGATGAGTAATAAAACTGATGTCGCTGATGAAAAAGCGAAGAAGATCTGGCCATACGCACGGCATGATTACACGACTTATAGCACGCTGCACGCGCTGGCTTATGGTAGGCTGGATACATTCTAGGATCAAGTCTTCTACTTGATGGTAACAAAACTTCTAATACAATGCGAAGCGACTCGAGAGACAAGAAACAAGCAGAGCAACTAAGCGACTGACGATTTCCGAGTTGCCCAGCTAAGCACTGACATTTAACTGACAACGACAAAGGCAAACCGCAGCTAATTTTATAGAAGCAACAGAAATTAATAATAAAAAAAAGCATGTACATGTATGTACATAGGTACATATTTATGTACACGAGTAGACAAGTTTGTATGAATAAAGATAATTTGCGCTGCTGGCTAGCTTTTCATTTTCCGAGAAGATAGATATTTGCATACCCTATAGAGGAGAGGTATTATGGTAGCTACGGGTTCCTGGAAGTCCTTTTATTTTCTAATTTTGTTCCCTCCATTATTGTGGAATCAATATGTAATTCCAAGTAAATACCCATAGGTGAAAGAATTTCACAGATTCTATTAACAAAATACGAATAATATTCATATAACCCTTGGCAGCTATTGGACAAATCCTAACACAAAAAAAATAAATATTAATTCATTGAATATTTTTCTGGCCCATTAAAAGCGTATGCATAGTTCGTTGGAATAAAAATTAACCTTGCTTTTACGTTGTTTCCCTCTCTTTCTGATACAAGTACAACAGTCCCCGGCTGTCGGCAAAATCTGATCTTTTGGTGTTGATAAAAACTTTGCAGAGTGCACCGCAACACACACACACACACGTTTTGATTCGAATTTCTTTTTAATGAAGTCCCAAACGTCAGGAACAGAACGGCCCTAAGAGGCCCAGAGGCCCAGGCCCAGGCAGCAGCATGCATCAGGCAGCAGCAAAATTTGGATGCCGTTGGAGCGGTTATTGCAGCAGCAGCTGCGTCAAGAACTCAGAAATGCATGAGTTGCATTTGCGTATCAAAATTTGCAGTAACCAACGGGCAAAATGCTGGCAAATAAATAAATGTGTGCGTACATATATTAACACCATCCATTAGTACTGGAAATACACTTTCAAATCTGCCCAAATACTATATGCATTTATGTATTTTTGGTTGGGAGTTTACAGAATTTGTGTGGCCTAATTGTGGTGATGTTTTAGGGGGATATCAAGTAACTTATTTATACATATATCAACAATAAATATATGCACGATAGAACATACCAATTTTATTTTTTTTTAAGGGAGAAAGTATTTATGTACTTGTAGGCTAGTAGTCCAAGTAGTCCTGAGTTTTCCAAGATTTATTTATATGTACAACAAGACTTGAAGGAAGGTAACAGCAAGGGCAAAAGTCATGCACAGTCATTTAAGAGGATAAATAAATAACATTTAAGATGTATCTACTTAAGTAAATCAGCAACGTAAGAATGAAATAACCTGTGCAAGCTTTGCGAGTTTTTTCTTTAAGAAACTAAGGAACAATTGAAATAACAAAACGAAACAAAAGCCATAAGCCATAAGCCTTGAGGGTAACACTCACAAAATACCATTTCAAATTCAAATTTCAGCAGCAGCAGCATATTTATATAACAATGCAATGCATGCTACAACCTGCACCTGTGCGTCGCGTCGAGTGTCTAAATTGTCGGATGGGACGTGTGAGTGCAAGTGCAACTGCAGAATGATCAAAATCGAATAATTAGAATCAAATAAGTTGAAACAACTAAAAGATCCCAACGAATAACAAGGAAGCGAAGCCCAATCATCTTTTAAATCAGTTTAACATTTTCTAACGTTTTCCGTACGTCTACTAAATGTTAATGCTTTTAAATAGAAATCATTTTAAGAACCAACTGTCTTGGATGATCATGGCCCGCCTTTCATGGCATCAAAAAGTGCGCCCTTGATGTGTTCTCTTAGCCGTGTTTAAAAACTTTGCAATCGTCGATGACACCAACGAAGCTGGAATGGCAATCCGTGGCTTTTGCAAAAATGCAAAGTCCCAGTAAACTTTGTATCAAAAGCATAGGTCAAAGCAGCAAAAAAAAAACAGAAAATATTGATAACAGCCGTCGACTGTTTTCTGTTCTGCTTTGCCTTGTCTTGCAAATTTTTCCTTGGAAGAGTACCCACTTTTTTGGTGTCTTTTTTATGTGGGTATTTTATGTTATTCATTATCCATATCTATGTTTTTTAACTTAAACAAAATGTAGTGTGAGAAAAAATTAACACCGGAAGTAGTTAAAAAAATATCTTTAATTTTAATTAAGTCAAGTATTAATCAAGTCAAAAAAAATACAATTTAAAAGACGACGCATAAAGTAAAGGTGAAGAACAGTCGCCGGCAACGATAATTGCAAAGGACTTTCATAACTTTTGCTGCTTCAACTGAAGCCAATACAAGCACAGAATATAATCATTAGTTCCTATAATTATATTATTATAATTCCTATAAATATGGGCAGGCAATTTCCCTAAGGGCTAACGGGCTAATCAATTATAATCAATCTTTACGCACATTCAGGCTAATATTTTCAAAAATTATACATTTACTAAATGTGTGCACAAATGACTAAATGTACCTTGCACCTAAATTGATCATAGACATTTTGTACTTATGTACATTGTACATATCTTAAAGTCCACTCCACTCATTCAAATAATAAAATACAACATTTACCTTAGTTATAGTTCATGCACCAAGTACGTACACAGAACAGTAACAAATACAGACAGATAAATAAATAAATCATAAATAGTAGCTTTTTTTTGGTTTTGTTTTGTCTACTTACATGCTGGAGAGAATTGTTATTTGCGCTGTTTAACATGACTTTTGGGTATTCGAATTTCACGGTACTTGAAATGTAAGTATCTTTGGTGTAAGTTGTTGTGGTGCTGTTGTTTTTTATTTATGGTGATTATATACCCCGCCCGATACTCGTAATAGAGAGTACACAGGGGTAGTATATACTTTAAATTTTAAAAATATGACGATGTATGCACCAATGGTCAGGTCAGGTCATTAACACAATAATGTAGAAACACCAAATCAATATTTAATAAACTGCAAAAAAAGTTGAAAGAATCTCTAATGTACTTATGTATGTATATTGGATACTTAAGGAACATCTACTAAAAAACACACGCCGTCGCTCTTCCCTCAACTTTAGGTCGATACAACTGTAATAAGCCATTAACAGATGCCATCAACAGTTGTGAAACATGACATTACATTATCTTATGTTTCTTTAGATATGGGTCCAAAACTGATGCTAATATCGACTTAATATCATACATACAAAAACATATATAATAATTAATGATCTACAAAACCAGAACTGCCAAGTAGTCCAACATGATGTATGCTGTAGTGCTGTGTCTAATCTATAATATCAATAAATAAATATCTGCAATATGTGGATACCGTATAATTCCGGCTCTACAATTTTACGAACCCAATAAATTGCTTGTTAAAGATGTAGAATTCTTTGTAGGTGGATTTTGTAGGATTCTTGTAAGTGTTTGTGCAATAATAATTAATATACAAAACACTTCTTGTTATCAAGTGACTTGAATTATTATTAACATACAACAATGTAAATTGTTACGAACAAGCGAATGTACTAACATAGTTATGTATGAATTTCAGTTGTATGTTTTGTTGTTGAATTTAAGCATCGATTTTCATAGAACACCCCATTCCCATTGAGAGAATTGGAACCGCAATGCGGACGAGCCGCTCGCGAACGTGTCCGACCGCTCTCGCTCGGCCAAAAGCGCATTCTATTGTATGTTGTTGTTTTATTTGTTTTGTGGGTACTCTTTGCGTATTAGATAATTCTACTTTTCAATCAAACATGTACTTACACATGTGTATGTATGCATGTATTGTTTGAGTATGAGTGCATTTGTTTGCACAACGTGGTGGAGAAACCAACTCGAAATAATCAATGGACATTTATGAACATTTTCTGAAAAAACATTATGCCCTAAATAGCTAACGGAACCATTTGACACAAAAGAGAACTATGTATGTCCATATGTATGTATTTACAATATGTATGTATGCATGGTACAAAAAAATGACGACAAACTTTTGCAAAATGCAGAAACAGCAGTCGCAAAGAAAATATTTACATAGGCGGAGAAAAACGAAACCTTTTTCTCCCTCTTCTCCATCGGCCGTTTGGACGTTTTGGACGTAATGTGGCCAGTGGATTACGTCGCATGCGTTTCCAACATGCAGAAATACACACAGACACACACTACACCTTATACCACACCACACCACACCACAGAGTACGGTACCTACATACGTAATCGCAAGCGCCAAGAGAATGAATTGAATGCACCAAAAGAGGCAAATAGAGTGGTTGTGGTGGATCTGCTCTCTGCCCTCTGCATTTCTCTCTCCCCTCTCCTAATGGTGACAAAAGGCATAGCGTAGGCATCATCCAGTTACGCGATATACGGTACTGATTTTATGAAAGAACGGGACGCCGTATGGATAAAACGCACACAAGCAGACACATCTACATAAATCTATACATGTCTGTATGTATGATGTATGCGCGTGCACAAATCACACACACGCACGCACACATGCCACTTTTCTCTGTTTTGTGTGTGCCGGGTACATATGTGCAATTACCCGACTCGGTCCATCTCTGATTTGTTTGGTTTTTAGTTTTTCCACTCAACTCACAAAAAAAGAATAGGAGGAGCGCATTTGGAGCCCCGAGAGTTTGTTACTTTTGCATAGATTTGCTTTTATTTTCATATGTATATATTGCTAGTATATTAGCACACACTCGACACACATACAGATTTACGTACGTATGCGTGTACAGACATACGGATGGGTACTTCTGTGTTTTGTGTTCCGATTATTTTGTTCTTGTTGCTACTGCATACCTTTCTGGCGTTTGAACGATCTCTAATTATTGATTTTTACTTCGCTGTATCTGTAGCGTTTTGTTTTATATGTTAAATGAATATTATTTTGTTGACTTTTCTTCGCGTAATAATGAGATTCTCTGTTGTATTACCAAGCAAGCACTTTATTTTAAAAGAAAAACGCGCACATTCACATCTGAGCCCTTGCAATGCCTACGATTTGTTCCAGTAAACAAATATTTTGTACAACTTATGCCTTATGCATCTTTTTTTATGTAGGTTAGCGGAAAATAGCAATCGAGTTTAACTTGGATAAATTTTTAGTTACAGTCCCTACGAAAATAAAACAACGACTTCAGTGTGACCGCGGAATTATCGATAAGCTATACCGTCAATACCTCAAGAATATACCTAAATGTACCTTCTCGTTTTAAAAATAGACCGTAAATCAGTACCGCAGTCTTAAATCACATTCCTCGATTTTGATGTTCTATCTTATATTAAAGACTTTAAACGCTGAAACAATTATTTAATCCGATTGAAGAATCAATTTGTCTTATTATGAAAACTCCATTTATGTTTTACAAATGTGTATTTGAAATTTTTACTCAAATCACCCCTTCAGGAAGCTTTCATGTTAACCTAGCGAGTTTTGAAAATCTCCCAGAGAGTTTTTAAATCTGCGAAATTGGTGAGACAACTAGTAAAAACGTCACAACAAATTCCAGGCGTGCAAGGTAAATTTCACCCGGCGTTTTCGATATTTCGAATTTATCGATAAATGTTCTATCGAAAGAATACTGATATTTATTTGAAAAATTTACCATTATTTATTTTTATTTATTCCTGTTGAATGGTACAAACTGCAAAACCGTTTGTCCTTACATATAGGCACAGGTGATGATTAAGCATTTCTGATGTCCTGACAATTTTGTATAGGTCGCGGCGAAAAAGCCACGCTGCAGGCACACGTAACCTTGACGTCCTCGTGCAGTTTGTTACTGCGAAGCTAAATTTTTAATTTTTACTGAATTTTGTGAAAGAATTTGAATGCAAAAAGAAATTCTGAAGGTCATCCGGATTATAAATACAAACCATCCAGAAATCATGTCTTATACCTTGGCAGCCATCAAATTATTCAGCTGGGTGCTGAGCATGTTGGTGAGCTTGACGGACCCCAGGGACTAGCATCTAAGGAAAGGATTAATTAACATTACAATTTAAGTTGTTGCTATAAGATATCTTCCTATTTCTTCCTTCCCGCCATATACTTTGAATTCTATTCTATTCACCAGGTGCGAGAAAGGTGGGTTCCCTCAAAAAAAGCTCGTCCTATTTACTTGCTTGACATAACTTGCCGTCATATGACAAAGAGAGGATTTGGTCAGCAATCACTCTCCCGAACTCATATTTGCGTTAATTTCGACGTCAAAATATACCGAAAAGTATAAAATATGTGTACCGTAAACGGTCACCCAGCATCGACTCGTTTTTATGGTGTATAAATCGATAGCGCTATCGATGCGCTATATCGTTAATTGAGTGAACATTGGCTGAGAAACGATTGTTTCGGCTGACCATCGATAGGATCACCCGGCAAAATCAAAATTGTCAGAGTGTGGGCAGGTTTGCATGCCCTACGGTCTCACTGACTTGTGTTTTTACTCAGCGGATATATACCAAAAGGTACGTTTTCGATTTCCAAGTCAACTGCAAATTGAAAAGGTTTCGCCCTTTATAATAAAGATCAGGAATTCTAAGTGCTATTCGATTGTGGCTGGCACATGGCATCTACATGAATTATACGTCCTGCATTAGCACAACAAGGTGAGTGGCATAAGAAACTGATATTTTTGTTGATGCTATCGATACAAAAGGCGCAAAAGGTGCAACCAAAAAGTTGCAAGGTGTATGACCTAGAGAGATAATTAAATCGAACTAACGAAGAGACAACGAACTTACTGAATAAAAATGAACAAACTTTTCCATGGCCATTGTGTGAAGAGTTTTGATACATTATAATTTGCTGGCCTTGTAATATAAGTTGCCGCAATATGCTTAAGAGAAGATGACCGAGAAGGGACGTGTGAGACGCTTCTTACGCGTCACAACTTTTATACCCGGCACTCAGTACTACATCTGCACCTTAGCGGTGTTTTGTCAAATTTTAAATTTTTTCTTCATCTGTCATCTACATCTACAACACTTCTCACACCAACACGCTCCGTTAGCTCGCCCCCCTTCCCTAGACCCACACACTGCAGACTAGCGGCAGAGACAGAGACAGAACAAAAAATAATATAAGCTGCAGGACGGGGTGGGTTAAAAGTCGGAAGAGGCAAAGGCAGAGGGACGGTAGAGGCAGGGGCCGAGTGAAGCAGAAGCAGAGTGTGAATGAGAGAATGTAAAAAGAACAAGAAAAGCTGCGGGACAGGGTGGGTTTAGCCACTGGAAATTAATTTCTTCATTTTGGCTATAATAATGATCCAATCTGATCCCAATTTGGTGATCTGATATATATGGTCATTCCCTACGGAATGTTAGTTTTCTACAAAATTGTAGATTTGGGAGGTTTTTGCCCTTTTGCTGAGGCGGAAGGGGGCGGGGCTAATTTTTTAAATACTCTGGTTGCAGTGTGAGCATACAGCAGTCCGGAGCCAAAATTTGGTGGCTCTAGCTCTTATAGTCTCTGAGAACTAGCCGAGAAATAAGACGGACGGACGGACAGACGGACAGACAGACAGACAGACAGACATAGCTCTATCGACTCGGCTGTTGATGCTGATCAAGAATATATATACTTTATGGGGTCAGAAGCGCTTCCTTCTGTGCGTAACATACAACCGTCAGTTTGGTTTTGAAAATATGAACACTTCATTCGATTTTTTTTCAGTGTATTAGCGTCAGTTGCCTGTTTGTCTCCTCCTTTTGTGTGTCTCAACTTTTCTTGCTGCACTCGTATTAGTAGAGTGCATAACCTGCCCATTTGGGCAGGGACTGAAATTTCGGCACAGCTAATACCGAAGAACAATGACACTTTTCAACACGATCAATATTTGAACACGGTCTATGCCCCATCTCTAATCGAGAGGCAGTGCCAACCATGGTGAAATAACTGATGGTTATGATCATTGTGAAATTAGTAATTCTACCATGGGTATGATGAATCTCGGATCATGGTAGAATAACTAACAAGGTGACGTCGTCAGCTGAGTGGAGGAGCACCAGCTTATTCACCACGCTCTCTCAGCTCGCAGAGAGGCAAGCGCAAGAGAGAGACAGCAAACGTTTTACGTTCTGCACTCTTCGAGTTGATTGTTTATAATAATAATAACATTTTAATATGTATGTTATAATAAAATCTTAAGATATTTTTTATGACCAATTAGTCTTTGTTTCTGTTTTTGAATTTTAATTCTTTTATTCAAATTTTTAATACGAAATTTTATCCGCATTTTAAAGAGGAATTCTTTGGTTTTTGTATCCAATTCAATGTATTGGAACTTTTTATAATTTTTTCCAGCAAAAATCTATTCAATACAAATTCGGCCGATGGCTTATTTAGCCCACCTGCTGACAACAGATCCACATAAGTGAATGAGGTGTTCTCCTTGTCCTCGCAGTCCAAGGACAATCGCCGAATTAGATAGTCTGCCATGTACTCTATGTCTTCTTCTTTGTCCTCTGCCTGCTCTGCCACACGTTCAGCAGGAGAACTTGAAGAAGGAAAACTCGAAGCAGTGGACTGCAGTGCGGAGAAGTCTAAGTCCAGCCATGGCACTGCTTCCCCCTCAACATTGACCTTTTTTCCCAAAATTTCAGTGTTCCTCGCTAAATTTATAAAATGATGTTTCATTAAAATTAATATTTAAGCTAAACAAATCGACAAACAATGATCAAAATACTTAACAATCACGTAGCCGACGCACACATACGTACGCTCTGAAAATCTACTACAGAAAACATTTTTGTACTACCAAAAATGACCTATTAGGTATTTGCGTAGCCGGCATTTCATGTTAAATCTACCCGAAACATACTCAAACAATTCGTTTAATTAGTTATTGCTGATAAGTATACCCCTTTGAAAGGGCAAACTATTTTTGGAATTTGAGAGTACTCCTTGGGACATCACTTTGGACATCTTATCCAAACCCTGTCGCTGAGCCTCTAGACCTCTACCGAAGGGATGCTTTGTCGGAATACTACTGGATGTGCAGAGCTTTACATCGTTTACCAATTGGATCAAATCTGCCGTTTCTAATGCATTGTATAAGACCAAGCCCAGTGACTGGCAGCGCTTTATTGCACTGGCTGTGGTGTTTGAAAATAGCTGAGTTGCCAGCTTAACTCTCTGCCTGCCTGCAGAGCGCACGTTAAGATGATCATCATGGAAAGGTCCGATGTGGTTCCTTGCTTGGCTCACGGTTAGCTGGGTTCAAACTTTCCCATCAACGACAAGCCCTGAATCAAGGAAGTGATTCCTTATCAACTTCACAGGATGGGGTACGTCTGCAAACACATACACTTTTCCAGTAGTGACTCTACTGGGTGCTCAAACCATGTTTTCTCTATTTAAAAAATATTTATAAATTAGTCAGAGAAGTCTAAAGTTTTGCTTACTTCATACCAGGCGAGATTCGAAGACTTGTCCACAATTTGTGGTTCCCGGGACCTACCATGTAGAGCCTTTTAATGAGCATGTTCAATGTGGATATCGTCATTGGCTTATCAAAGTCTAAATAAAAAATAATAAGTAATATCACCATCCGAGACATGGTGAAATTAGTAACAAGGTGACGTTTCGCCTGAGAGAGGGCCAGTGGTGGCCCACACTACGCCACATGATAGATAAGGTCTTTCCTTACGGCATGGCCTTTTTAGTTTTCTTTTATCTTTAAAATTGTGGATCCAACAGAATTTTGCCCTTTTTTGTGGCGGAAGGGGGCGGGTCGAACTTTTGAAATACACTTGTAGCAGTATGAGCATACAGAAGCCTGGGTGCAAAACTTTGTTTCCTATCTCTTATGGTCTCTGAGATCCAAGCGCTCAACAAGACGGACGGACAGACGAACGAGCAGACAGACATGGCTATATCGACCCGGGTTTTAATTCTGATCAAGAATATATACACTTTATGGGATCGGAAACGTTTCGTTCTCTCCGTTACATCCACATTTTCCCACAGCCGAATTGTGGATTATTTTAGCCCCGCAGCAGAACCAACGTATATCGAATCATTTATGGGAATGGTACAAAATAACTGGGACTATCTACAAACGATATCGGCACAGCAATGCTGTGGGCAAGACGACTCCATGATGGGAATGATGTGCCACAACTGGTGCAG